ATTGTAGCTATTTCTTCGGATTATTGTGAGGGCAATGAGGTCATAATGCATGTGAGATGCTTAGCAGAGTCTGGCACGCTTAAGGGCTTCATGACAGTTAGCTGTCTTGTTACTGTGTGCCATGCACAGTGCAGCTATTTTCTCATTCTAGCCTCAATAGAGTCTTGCAGTATTAAGTATCTCCCTTTTATAGATGAGGAAGTGGACACTCTGGTAGAAGGTTTATACTTTGCCAAGGAGTCATACACTAGCAACTGGCAAATCTGCAATTCACCTCCAGGTCTCTTTGTCTCCAGATTCCAGACTCATAGTCAGCACCTCAACACTTTCAGGAGTTTTGCTAGGCTGCTGCCAAAGGAACTCTGCAGAGTAATCAGCAGCATGGGAGGCACAGAGGGGGTTGGGGAGTGGTCTCAGCCCTGTCACTACTAGGTGACAGAGCAGCAGTGGAATTAAAGTCATTCACCACAGTGAACAGTCTCAAGAGTGCATAATCAGTAAGATGTTGGTCATTAACTGCTGGGCTAATTTCTATTCCATGAGAAATGATATACAGATATTCACCTGCAAGGTATAGTTTGAGGGCACCAAATATCACACTGACCTTCAAATCATACTTCTCCCACCCTTCACACACAAAGCCATATGTCTGAAGATCCAGGATTAGCAAGCCATGCCTTTAAGTTATGGTATTATTCCAGCTGCTTCCAGTCCAAAGGCCACAACCCCAAGACAAAAGCCCATCACCTCCATAGGGGTCCAGAAGAGTTTGAGTTAGCAAATTTAATCTGAAAAGAGATGGTGAGGCCTGAGGGCATGATTAGGGCAAAGAAGTCCGGGTGGGATGAGAAGGGGGATTTGAAGGGAGCGGCAGGATAGGCCCACTGTCAGCAACTGTGGTGAGCATGGGAATTAGTAACGATATATACAGGAGAAAGCGACATGGGGAGAAAGGAAGCCCTCTAGTTCCTAGTTTTGCAATTCCTTGTCTCCCAGATTGTGGGAAAAACACAACAAAACAAAGCATACACCACACACACACATATATACAAGCATATGTATATATACATGCATGTGTGTGTGTGTGTGTGTGTGTGTGTGTGTATACACATATAAATTCTGGGATTCTCATTCTCAGGTACAAAGGCTTCCTTCACCATTGTGCATTCCTTCCCAGAGTGATATAAATTTTTGGTCCAGGGGAGATTCTGTTCTCTGGTTTGCTCCCCCACTTCATCCCCTTTCATTTTCAGTTGTTTGGAAGGCCACTTTCTCCAACTTCCTCCACTTCCACCCCTCCTCCACTCCTGCAACTAATTTCTCCTCTGGTCCCATGGTGTAGGCTGACCTTTTCTTTCCAGCAACATCCAAAGGAAGTGAATTATTAACTCAGAGATTGGGCCCAGATCACTGGGAATCCTGGGTGCCAGAGGGACAAACAAGCTTATTAGAGAAATCATTTCCAAAGGCTCTTTCAGAAGCCACACAAAAGGCTCAGGGGAACAAAGCGCACAGGCCACCTCAGGCAGCTCAGGATTCCATGGCAGACAGCAGGTACCTGGCTTCGTGCTGCACACTCCTCTTGCTGGTGCCCTGCTCCAGATAAGAGAACTGGAGTCAATAATGGTACAGCTTGCCTTTGGTGCCCCATATTACCTTTCCAAGGTGAAATAAAAAAATTAACGTACCCAGAGCAATTCAGTCTTAGGCATGTGGAGCGCAGAGTGAGGGCTGAATGTATTACAAAGGCAGCAGCAAGGTTTAAAATGTGTATCTGGCTGTGGACCGCAAGCCTATCAATTGCTTTTACCCTAAAAGGGCGAGAACTGGGGCAGAAGCCAAGCACCAAGTCAGAAAGAATATCTGTTGCATTTGTGCTGCACTTTCCACTTTTGATCATATTTTCACATTTGTTCTCTTATTTGATCCCTTCAACCTCCTGGGGCGCCAGTTAGGACAAATAGGATCTCCATTCAGTCGCTGATTGATGGCAACGGCTTAAAGCAAGTGAATCACCTAAGGTCACAAAGCACAGCAGGGGCAGTGTGGCTATAGAAAGTAAGTAATAGTGTGGGGCCCCTGGGATTAACACCTTAGAGACCACAGCCATTGCCAAGCAAGGGAGCTAGATGCCTAGGGAGACAAGGAGGGAGGGAAGGGGAACTGACTTAAACAGACAGAAATACAGTGTATGTGGTATTCAAACCATGTTGAAAAGTGGCTATGGGGCCGTTTTCCCAACTCCATGTGGACATCTGGAGTAGGGCAAACTCCTCTCTATTTCAATTCTTTCCCCTTGTCACTCAATCTATTCCTAGATTCCACCTGAACATGGACTTACACAGTTGCTTTCTTGGGTCTGAACTTCTGGTACATGGCAAAGAATGGGAAGGAAACAGCTGCCTTTCAGAGCCCTCCACAAACATGACAAGCTTGAGAGGAGGAAATTTTTGATCATTTCTAAATCAGGATGACATCATTGATACAGGGCACCATTCCCCCCCCCCTCAAAAACATTTATTTATGCATACAAGAATTGGGGTGCAAGCCAAAGGTGCGGGGGCAGGACGTGAGAGGATTCACCAGAGAGAGTGGGAAGCAGAACAGGCAGATTGATATACACTGCTAAGGGCAGCAGCAGGCAGGACAGGAGAGGTGTGCTGTGCCATGTGGGTTACCTCCCTGGCTGGGGATCAAACTCATGCTGCAGTGGCTGCCAATAGCTTCATAGAGGTATGACAACCCCTTGCAGCACTAGAGAGGCCCAGGGCACCACTTTTGAAGTGGACCTTGCACCCCTGCTCGGAGGATAAAATTACACTTTCTCTATTTTCATGTTTTCTAGGCTGTTGATACAATCCACCAGCATTTTCATAAAAACTAACATGATGACATTGACAATGTTGGAAACACTACAAGTAGTAAGCACAAGTTTTAATTTAGACATATTTTATTATTATCATCTTTGGCTGTAAAGTAAAATATATTTAACTGTATGTTAGAGCAAAAAGTTTGAGTCATTTTGAAATCCAGAGGATCACAGTCCTCAATCCCAGATACAGGTGTATCCTAAAACCCTCTAACTCCTTATTACAACACTGTATTTCTCTAACTTTTACTGCTCTCCTAGGAGGCAAGACTGATCTACAGCCACTAATAGTCACCAAGAAATCTTTTGTACAGAAAGCTGCAATGGGCAAAGAAGGGCAAGTATTTCTTAATAGCATATAGCAGTTTTGAGCTTCCCTATGACCCAGCAATCCCACTCCTAGGTATCTACCCAGAAGACACAAAAACACTGATTCAAAAAAATACCTGCATCCCCATGTTTATTGCTGCTTTATTTACAATTGGAAAAAACTTGGAAGCAGCCCAAATGCCCAGAAGTAGATGACTGGATTAAAAAGTGGTGGTACATATACAAAATGGAGTATTACTCAGCACCAAAAAAGAAAAAAAGAAACACATGTCTTTCGCAGCAACTTGGATGGAGCTGGAAAAGATCATGCTTAGTGAGATAAGCCAGAAAGAGAAAGAAAAATACCGGATTGTTTCGCTCATAGAAGGAGTATAATGGACCAGGCGAGAAAATAATAAGAATAATGAACAGCCATATACCAGAGACGTTTTGTGGGGGTGGAGTGGGGAATGGGATCAAAAACGGGGGAGGGAAGTGCATGGGACTATGGTGATGGCACACAGGTGACTTGGTGATGGGAAACCCACGGGGATTACAATTGAGATGGAAAAAAAAGTACAAAATGATGTAAAATAAACTATTGTATTATATATATATATATATATATATATATAAATGTCCCACCACCATTAAAAAAAGAAGAAGAATATAGCAGTTTGGTAACAAGAGTCTTATAAAATATTTTTATGTACAGAGCCAATTGTCATGTCAAAACCAAATATATGCTATCATTTTCCCTTAAACATTTTAAGATTATATTAAATCACATCCATGTTTATCCTTTCATCCTTACATTAAATGCAAAGCCAGCAAATGAAGTCCCCTTAGATCAGATTCCCTGTTCACTAATTTCAGGCAAAGTTCTAGAATAAAGGAACTCATGGTAACTTCTTGGCTCTTATTTGATTTCTTGTTCCTTTATCAAGTACTGCATTTACACTTTAACCTCATCTTTTCAGACATGACTGACACATGCACACACACGTTACATATATGTAAGACTAGTTTTAAAAAAACCAGGAAAATGTTATGGATCCAATTCACCAAGACACATGCATACTTAAATTTGGTCTATAGCTCTTGCAACTATATGGTTATCACAAAATACAAACTTAGTGATAGAGTTTGATCACAAGTTATCACCCTTTGCATTTTCAGCTTGGTTATTTCCACTAATGCTTACAAATTTAGATCTATGTAAATTCCTAACCATTTTTAACTAGGTAGAACTCATTACCTTATTTCAAAGGTGCCACTGATTATAAGACTCACCAGTATTTTATGTACCACTGAACAAAGAAAAAAATGATTAGGCTATGATGTGGCATCAGTTTTAGATACAAATTTTGTGAATATTGAAATGTATAGTACGTGGATCTCTGAACACATGAAATATGGTAGCTGATTTCAAGGACTATTGCTTTTCCAAACACCTCTCTGAGTATCTGTTGATATGTTTTATGGGCCCGTTCTTTTCTGGAAATCAACTTTTGGTTTCACAGCCTACCAAATAGTGTTTTCAGCTATTTTTTCTAGTATAAATTTTTAATGTCTCACCAGAAAATTCACTGCTACCTCAAACGTTGATATCAGGAATATAACTATTTGGGTAGGAAGAGAGGAAGAACAATTCAGGGGAGAGAAAAGGCAAAGTCCAAACTTGCCAATCATTGTTTAACCTAACATGTGGGTTATTTCTTTAATTTGAAAAACTTTATATTGTAGAAAAACAGGTACCTGTTCTGGAGCCTTAAAAATATAACTAAAAGACTTTAAAACCAACTTGAGAAAAGTTGTCACACAGCAAATTTTATTGTTTTTTTCAAGTTACAAAAATATGTGCATGTCAAAAATACAGTCTAGTCCATAGAAGAGTAGCTCCAGCCATTGAAAAGTTATACAGTTTGGAAATAGCAATTCATATACAAGTCTTAAAACATAAAGTTCATGACAGTATATAACCACTCAATTCAATTATTGCGTTATATGCAGCTTTTACTTGAGACTGTTTTCCATAATGGAAAAGGCAGTTATCTGGACACTCTAATTGTTACTGCAAAAGCTGTGGTTTTAGAAAGCCAATCAAAAATTAGAGTAAGTTTACTTTGAGTAGAACATAATGTGTCAATTGTGATCAGTTTTATAAGTATGGTCAAATTTCACCTTCTATTCTTTATTTTGGTCATTTATGTGTAGTTTTTGGGCAAGAGTAAAAGAATGGCTGGTTTGCAAAGCGGTGAAGAAACATTAACTTTGAACTGCAGCACAGATACAAAGCTGGCACATCTAGCGTACAAACATTCCAAAAATGAATTCAAGAATTCAAAACATTTCGAGTTTAAACCAAAATCCAGAGCTAGGATTCTTTCTCTTTAGGTGTTGAGGCATAAAATTCACTTGTCTTTTTGAAGTTTATGGTGCTAGGAAGATGTGCTGTTCTATTTTCTTTTCAAAAAGACAACCACTTAACAGGACCATGTTTTAGTATCTCTTTGCTCAGTGCCACATGGAAGAATAAATCACAAAATTCAGTAACTTTTGAGAATTAAGACACTACAGCAGGCAGTGTGAAAACAATGGGAATAAACCACTTACTTTGGAGGTGGGTATACCTATAAGACTTTTGGCCTAAAGTTCGCATGGAAGACTTAGAAGTTAGGGTTATCCCAAAGAGATAGCAATGGCTTTATTTCCAACTTTCCTGTCAGACCCTGCTGCAGGGTTAGTCTTATTGCTGACATTTTACCCCCAGAAAGTCCTTCAATAAACTGAGATAGTTATCTTGGTGCTAAGTATGAGGTGAACTGGAAAAAACTTGAAAAAAACTATTCATGGAACATAAGAGACATTCACAACCATTTGGCAGGGATGCTTATTACCTTAGTGACCTAAATCCTAAAAATAGGCTACATTTTTAGGAGGTAGAAAACAAGTACCAAAAATTCACCATTTGGCCACTCCTCCTTGCTTTTGGCCAACCTTGGCTCTCTACATTTTTCACTCCTCATTCTCCCATTAAAGCTATTAGTCCTACTACCACTCATTACCTAAAGTTATATAAACTTGGAGCTGCCAAGAAAAATCTTTTTGAGAAGTTTTGCTTTTAAAGTCCACTGAGTGTATCAAACACTCAGGTGTCACCAGAGGATATTTACATCTCTCTAGCTCACTAATTTGCTTTATAAGAAAAAATACCAACATAAAAATTACTTAACATGACAGAAAGACTACTGAATATCTCTACATGCAATTCTAATATGTCAGAGTAGACATATTTATGCAAACATAAATTAGTAACATTTTCATTGAACTGATGTGAAAGAGGCTTCTATTAAACCTGCATTACCAGTGTTTACTTATAATAGATGTATTCTACTACAAAATTAACCTAATAACAAAAAACTCCACTTCCTCCCAGAGTTACATTGTGCTAAATACCCCCACATAGTATTATTAAAATTATTTTGTTTTTGCGATATAGACTGGGCTCACAGTGAATACGCTAGCACAGAGATCATGTGTTTAATACTACCATAAGGGTGTCATTAATGGAATGTACATAAGGCATGTAAAAAACTAGTGTTAAAGCTTTTCAGGGCAACAATGCAAACTGGCAGCACCAGGAAATGGTGCTGCTAGTAATAAAAAAAATATTAAAGAAATTTAGTTTTAGCACATACTAATCGTGCTTCCACATGAAAATGGATTAATTCACATACATTACTGTTGTTGGGAACTAATGGATCAAAACCAGAATGGACTTTTGCCCTCTTTAACTACTAGTAGCCCAATCTTGAAAACGAAAGCAATCACTTGCAATCTTCCACACAGTGTTGTTAGGAGTGGACTGAGCCGTCAGCAGGAAGTTCTGGTTGAAGTAGTGTTGTTTGTTTCCATCAAACTTCACAGTTCCGCTGGTCACTACAAGAACTGTAGTCTGGGCCTGAGTAGCTTGCTCTTCCACCGCAAGGAAAAGAAAAAAAAAAAAAGGACATCAGTTTCTATATCTAAAAAGTAGATTTTAAACGCTAACCTACACTGCTTTTTATTTAACACTAAAAAAGCTTCATAAACTTTTTAAACTTCAGACATAATATTCAACATGTGTACCCAAAGTCAGAAGACTAATCATTTAAAGATACTAACAATTTAAGTGCAGAAAAGTTTGGGGTACACTAAGGTTGCAAAATAAAAAAACTTACATCTAGCGTAGGACCACTTGCTTCTGCATGTATAATGTTTTATTGAGTTTCTAACAGATCTTTTTAATATTTTGCTTCTGAGGCTATTGTTCTTTTTAAGAACTATATAGGAAAAAAAAAAACTCATTAAACTACCACTTGAGACACTTGGACTCCACCCAGAGGTTAACCTTATAAACTGCATCAATCTAACTTGAAGTAGTTCTGTCTTGCCAAGTCACCCTTTCACATACAAGAGTAAATATCTTCCACGAAACTTTAATAGTTTGCAAGATAAAAGAGTCACAGTAATCAGAGATATGGTAGAACTGTTCTCTGGAAACATTTCAAAGCACAGAATACAACTAGTTATTTGGGGAAGATAGATAATTGTTCCTTTCCATCAACAAAATCACATCTACTCTCAACTTCTCATGGAACTCTTAGTAAGCTCTCATCACACAATCCACCGATACCCTGTGGTGAGAGTGGAGTGAGATGAACCTAAAGGAAGACCAAAAATTTGATTGGACAGCTAAAATTTTCATGTTTAACTTGCTCAAAAAATTACTTCTACCACTACAAGTTGCTTTTGTTTTGGGAATTACACAGTACTCACTAAAGGAAAACAAAGAAAGTAGTTTGAAAGATCATAATCTTACCATGAACTGGTTGGCAATCTAACATATTGACTTGGAACTCGCTAGAAGGCAACATCTCAAAAAAATTAGTTAGGGCATCCAGCCCTGTAACAACATTTCCATTCCATATTAGAGTGGCCTTGTCAAGATACAGCCTGGTTAATGCCTTAAAAAGGAGAAAGGAGAAAGGTAAATACTTTTGCTCCTGGTAAATATTTTAAATATATTTGTGGATTGGAAAATTTTACAGGTAGTATATAAACATTTTAATAATTCTATTTCTATCTTACTCCCCTCACTGGAAGACAATGTGAACAATGTGCTGCCTATTATCTTGGTTTTGAATAATTATTAGCCTACTCTTAATAAACTAGGTAGAAAAACAAATCTAGTTTTCCTATTTCACTTTCGCTACAATGAGAAACATTTGCATCCAATTTAGAAGTTTTCAAGTTTTGCTTTTTGTATTAAAATGAATAAGTGAGGGGCCCTCCCTGGTGGCACAGCACTATGGAGCTAAAGTCACTTCAGCATGAATTCGATCTCTGCTCTAGTTGTGACCCACATGATGCGGCAGACCTCCCCTGACCCACTCGCTGCTCCCCTCAGCAGTACTTGTCACTTGGCCTGTTCTGCTCCCTACTGTCTCTGATGAATACTCTTACTGCCCCTGCACCTCTGGCCTGTACCAGTTTTGTATGCATAAATAAATAAGTCTTTAAAAAATGAATAAATGAACCCAAATAGCAATCCTATGCAGCTCCAAACCAGTTTTAGTCTCCCTTCCTTTTCTAATTCTGAGAATTACCAAAATTGTCAATCAAGCTCTATCTGTACACTTCAACCCTAGTGTTTATACACACTTAAAAACATTAAGTTTTTAAAATTACATTTATTAAGTTACATTGATTTACAACATGGAATGTTTTAAGTGTATAGGTTCATACCTCTTTATGTCTGTAGCCAACAGAAAGGGATGGCACCTGGGGGAAGGCACCCAATTATAGGTGCATGACTGGCAAAGTTATTTAATGTTTGAACCATTTAATCCTGTATGTGTTAGGAAGAATTAGTTCCTTTTACTGCTATTCAAATAGCATATTTAGTTCAAAAGAATCGTAAGTACCTGCTAAAGCAGAGTCTTTGACAAGTAAATTAGGCCTAGATAAGGCAAATTCAATGGTAAACTCAAGTCATAAGAGTTTAGTGTGCAACAGGACACAGTATTAGCTTAATTCTAAAATTCAACTAAAAGATCAACACAGGGGCCCTCCCTGGTGATGCAACAGGTTAGGACACAGCACTGCAAGCTGGCTGCAGCTGCTTCAGTGCCAGTTCCATCCCCAGCACGGAGGTGATCCGCATAGTATGGCAGACCTCTCCTGACCCGCACACTGCTCCCCTCAGCAGTGTACTTCGTTAGTCTGCCTGTCCTGCTCCCCACTCTGTCTCTGGTGAAGCCTCTAACTGCCCCTGCACCTCTGGCTTGTACCCCCAGTTCTGTATGAATAAATAAATCTTTTTTTTTTTAAGTCCAACACATATCTTGATTCTGGTAATGAACTATGTTGCCTTTGTTTTTTGCTATTTTACTTTTTAAAAAAGGCTTTATTTATGCATATAAGAAATGGGGTACAGGCCAGAGGTGCAGAGTGAGAGGATTCACCAGAGACAGAGTGGGGAGCAGAACAGGCAGGTCTACTGAAATACACTGCTGAGCAGAGTGGCAGGAGGGACAGGAGAGGTCTGCTGTGCCATATGGGTCAGCTCCCTGGCTGGGGATGGAACTCCTGTTGCAGTGGCTGCTGATAGCTTCGAGTGCTGCACTTTAAGCAGCTGAGCAACCAGGAGGGCCCTATTTTACTTTTGAAAGCAGCCAAGCAGGCACAATGAGTATCCACTGTCACATCCTTGCCTTTCCCCCATGCTTTCAAACACGAAGTACCACAGTTTTATCTTTTGCATTAAAAAAAGCAAGTTTTAAAAAGATTTCAACTTCTATATATGCAGCACAAAAGAAGTTCTCTATAACACAGTCCTGTGCTGTTTAGAGACCCAGAGAAAACACTGAGAACACACTGAAATAATTACTAAAAAGGTATGGTGTAGAAAGCAGTCACAATGAAAAAAAGTTGATGAGGTGAGAACCTTTTCTGCTGAAGACTAGCAGTATCCAAGTCATGTGAATTCTGTTTGTGAATGTCAACTATAATGTGAATTTTAATCAGGAATTACCTATAACCATCTGAAATTAATGGGACAAACTGGGGAAACATCTGTAATGGCAGACCCCTTCATTAACACTAACACTATTTTAAACCTATTGGTTAAAAAATGGGACTAAGAGAAGGTAACATACTTAGGTTAATATATTCTGGGCTCTGTGTTAAATGTAGTATTTAATTTCCACATACTATCCTAAAAGAAAATGAAGTTGAGGAGGCTTTGAAACTTGCCCAAGATCACATAGCTAGGTAGAGGCAACCCTGAGATATGATTCCAGAGTACACACTTTCATTAATACCATGCCAGTCCTCCTGCAAACAATGCCCTTTTCATAAAAGAACAAATTCGGAGTTATTTCTTATGCAAATCAGATGAAGGAGTGGCTCAAACCATCCCAATCCTATTTGATAACAGTAGTAGCATCTATAACACTCACCCGTCTCCTTTTATCCATAGTCTCATAGTAAATATTGACAAATTCTTCAGCAGCTCTACATGCCTGATCAACATATGTTTTAAAATCCTGCAAGAAAAATTTCTTAAGTGTACATTACCACCCCTCACAAACAAAACCACCGACAAAAGTCGCTGGCTCATTTCAATTACTTTGTAGTTGCACACACATTCACATTCTTCCATATACATTTGGACATTTTAAAGGTTAGGTTTCAAAATTTTCCAAATTTTAAATATTTTGGGGTATATATCTTTAGGGCAAAAGTATCCGTCAGTAGTGAATTTGATTTCTTTTTTCCACTTCAAATATAAATTAATAATCTTTGCCTGGAAATTGGTACTTTAGGCTTTCAAGATTTCACAAACCATTCACCTTGATAAAATGATAATCTGAACCTTAAACGAATGTGTATTAGTAAGTTAGGAAAGTGCTCTTTTCAATCGCAGTTATGACCAAATTGAAAAGTGACTGGCTGGAAAAAAAAATTGAATAAGAATAAAATTCAGTACTTAGTGAACTTCCTCACATTAACATAACAATTCGCCGGCGTTTGTTAACAACTGCAAAACCACAGAAAAGCTGTTAGGGGGTTTCTCTTAAGGGAAGATTAAATACCTTCTTCCCTAGCCTTTTAACCGAACCCAGCCTATTACTTGAATTAAGAACCAATTTCATTTCTGGTGGTCGAAAGTGAGGTAGAGTCGAGAAAGGGAGATTTTAAGTCAAAGAGACCCCCCAACTTTTCCACCTTTTCGCTAGTTCTCAAATCTGGGTACTTTCTCCAGTCAAAAGCGACTGCACAACCGCCCCGGCTGGAGGTGGATCCTGCGTGGGGGTTGGGGCGGAGGGGGGCGGGTTAGGTTTCTAGAGAGAAAAACCCGCCTCTAAGTCGGCGGGCCCGGCCATGATTCGTTATTTGAACACGTGATCAACAGTCAGCCCGGCCCAGTGTCCCTCCCCTCGCCCGCTAAAGTCCCGGCGCCCAGGCACCCTGCCGCGGCCAGCTCACTCACCACGGCCATGGCCATCGGGGAGGCCGCAGCAGCTTGCTGCGGCAGTGGCAGCGTCACTACGTCCTCACGTGTCCGGCCCCCTCGGCTGCCGGAGAATCAAATATTTAGGAAGTCAGTAAAACCCGCCAAACACACAGAATTGCCCGCCCGCCCATTCGCTCCCGGAAGTAGCTCGGTCCGTTGTTAATTCACCCCGATGTTACAACCTGCGTTCACTTCGTTCCAGTTCCGATCTTACCCTTCTATCTGCCTTCTGTATTCACTTGTTTGTTATTTATTTAGTTTGGTAGGAAAAAACTAACGTTACATTTGTAAACTGAATACTCGTAATGGAAAGCATCCGTCTCTACAAAGGCGCGCCCAGGGAGAAGCGAAGAGGATATAAAGGATCCAATAGGAGGGTTTGTCTGCTCTGAGAGGCAGGGCCAAGGTTTCCTTTAGACGAATGAGAAACGCGAAGAGGAACCTCCCAGGTCCGTACCTGAGAGAAGGGAGTGTAGCCTGGGGAAAGCGCGCAATCTTACTGCGCATGACTAGCAAAGAGCAATTTGTTACCTTCTGGAAAGTGAGTTCTGGAACATTCTGGAAGAGTCTACGCAAACTACAATAAGCCGTAATGCCTCCGCAGTATTTTTAAAAATATTCACCATTAGATTTTTAAATTTCCAGAGGAAAAGGCATATCCAGTATTCCATTGTGGGATGCACTTTTGCATACCTCAGATGAAAATTAGTCCACAGTGTCATTCACCGCTTTCCACAAACCACTCTCTACAAATAGCTAAAATTTTACTGAGTGGTGACCACGTGCAAAGTACATTTCTCAGTATTTTAATCCACAGCCGCACTCTGGAAGAGTCTATGCAAACTACAATAAGCCGTAATGCCTGCGCAGTATTTTTAAAAAATATTCAACATCAGATTTTGAAATTTCCAGAGGAAAAGGCATATCAAGTATTCCATTGTGGGATGCACCTTTGCATACCTCAGATGAAAATTAGTCCACAGTGTCATTCAACGCTTTCCACAAACCACTCTCTACCAATAGCTAAAATTTTACTGAATGGTGACCACGTGCAAAGTACATTTCTAAGTATTTTAATCCACAGTCGCTAGAGTTAAAAACTAGTTCAGAGTCAAGTTAAAACAATTTATCTCTGCAACCTGGCTCTCTTCCCAATATCTTTTAAAACCGCCCAGTTCAAAGCCATCAGCAACAGCTAGGTTGTAAAACCAGCTAAAAATCTAATGTCTTACCATGCATGTCTGGTGTGTGACTCCTCACCGTAATGCTTATAATCATGTTTGTAGTTTTCATCTTGGTCAACCCTTTCTTGATAGTTTCCTTCATCTCCTTGAGACCAATCTCTGCTGAATCGCCTCATACTTTAATTTTAATTCCCCCTGCCTCTCTTTAGCTTCGCTCTAGCTGTAGCTACTTCTCTCCACACGACCTCTCCCCTCCTCTCGTCGCCGCTAACTGTACTCTCTTCCGGGGTATCTGGGTTATAAAACTTCTCTGTACTCGCGCGATCACACAATTGCTACTCTTATGCTAATGAGTCGCAACATCATATCTCCAGCCCCTCCTTTCTGAATGCCAATTCCACATAGGAAATTTTGCTAAATATGAACATCAGGCTGTGCTTCAAGCTACAATCTTCTCAAACTCAGACTCCAAAATTTAAACTTGTCATCTCTGCTGCATTTCCAATATTTGTATTCTTCCAGTCCTCTATGCTTGAATTTTGTAATCTTTCATTTTTGGCCCCCTCCCCTCCTCATTATTATAATTCATTTCATTCAATAGCTATTTCTTCAGCACATGCTTTGTGTCAGGCATTGAGCAAAGTTCTGGACAGAGTGGAAAACAATGATCCATAGCCTCATGTAGTCCATGATATAATGAAAGTGCTAGAACATGAATAAAATATAAACCAGGGCCCTGCCTGGTGTCGCAGCAGGTTAAGGTGCAGCACTGCGAAGATGGCTGTAGCAGCTTCTCTGTGAGTTCGATCCCTGCCCCGAGATGATTCACACCACGCGGCAGAACTCTCCTGGCCCGCCCGCGGCTCCCCTCAGCAGTATTTCGTGGATCTGCCTGTTCTGCTCCCCACTCTGACTATGGTGAATCTTCTCACTGCCCCTGCACCTCTGGCCCATACCCCAGTTCTGTATGCACAAGTAAATAATATATATACATATAAATAAATTACAGAGGAGTCTTACAAAAATGATGCAATCTTCATAACGCCTAGAGTTGGCCAAGATGACTTTGCTAGTGGAGCTGTAGTTGCAAGCCATGATAGTCTGTTCCCAAAATCTTTCTCATAGATATCCTGCCATTCCTGCATTTGCATAGACTCTGTTTAGTTTGGAATGTTTGTTCAGCCATGTGCTTCTCTTCAGGGACTAGCACAAGTGTAGCCTCCTCTGTGAAGCATTCCCTCATTTCATGTCCTGGAACTCCAAAGGATGTGACCTGTCCTATAAGGAGAGGCTACTGCTGTAGGGCAATTGCGCTGCTGAGTAGAGAAGTCTTGGGGATGCTGAAAAGGGACAGCTGAGTTAGAGGTGGAGGCAGCCTTAGAGTTCTGTTTGCACAGAAGTGTGTGCACTTCTGTTGGTATGTTACACAGGTGGAAAGCTGCGTACATTTGTAATACAGAAAATGATGTTGCTCTGTTTAGTCAGAGCAGTGCACATGTGAAGACTGAGGACAAATGGGATCTAGACGAATAACACAGAATTGCTCATTACTAGATAATCACACTTTTGCAAAACATGGGGTGAGTAACTAGGAAGCATGTGAAAGCGCTTTTCTTGGAACAGGCATGACATCTTGGTTAAGCACATTGTTGTTGACAACTGTCTTTGTGTTCAAATCCTGTACAGGCCATGTCACTGAATAGCTCTGTGACCTTGGCCAAATTGCCACAACCTCAATCTTCCAATCTGTAAAATGGAAATAATAATATTAATATATATTTCTTAGCATTTTTGTGAAAATTAAATGAGTCTGTGCTTGGCATACAGTCCCTGCTTGAGGGATATTATTTTCCTACTCATAGCAAAGGCGATTGTGCGCGTCTTATTTGAGAGTATGAAGTTGGGACAGAATCAAGAGCTCCTGCATACTGAGAGGCACTGGTACACTTCTGGAGAGGATGGTGGACCCTGACACAGCAGATTATTGGGGCAATACCTTGGGTTGACTTGGATTGCTTGTGGTTATGATGTACAGCCATCTCTCCTGGTCAAGTATCGTTCTAGTGGAATTACAACTGTTTGGAATTACTAACATTCCTTTCTGAATCTTCAGCTTGCTTTGGGTTTGGGAAGGCCGCATCTGTAACAACCAGGAAGTGATTTTAGCAGTCAGAATCTTCTCAGCTCTCTATAGGTCTGTTCACCTTGTGCTACGCGGTGCCAACTATGTTATCTGGGTGACTTTGGCATTAGATAACATTTTTAAAAAGCTTTTTTTTTTTTAGATATAATTCATGTACCATACAATTCACTCATTTAAAGTGTAAATATTTTAGTATATGCACAGAAATACTCAAACAATACTCTAAAGTTGAGAACATATTCAACACTTTCAAAAGATTCCCCTTTCCCATTAGCTATCGGTTTCATTGGCCTTTCATCCCAGCTTCAGGCATCTCTAACCGTCTAATTCAGTTTCAGCAGGTCAGCCTCCTCTAGACATTCCTCATACGGAGTCACGGTAATATGTGGCCCTCTATGGCTTAGAATACTGCTTTTTTTTGGGGGGGGGGAAGATTTATTTGTGCATACAGAACTGGGGTACAGGCCAGAGACTCAGGGGCAGCGAGAGGCTTCACCAGAGACAGAGTGGGGAGCAGAACAGGCAGATCCACGAAGTACACTGCTGAGGGGCGTAGCGGGCGGGTCAAGAGAGGTCTGCCGCGAATGTGGTCACCTCCAGGGCAGGCGGGAATCGAACTCATGCGGAAGTGTCTTTAGCTTCTCAGTGCTGTGCTTTAACCCGCTGCGCCACCAGGAAGGGCCTAGAATACTGTTTAAGATTTACTCCGGTTGTAGCTCATATCAGTACTCCATTTCCTTTTAACTCTAGAATCATATTCCATTGCATGAATATAATACATTTATTCATTCATTCGCCTTTGATGGATATTTAGGTAATTTCCTTTTTTGATATTATGAATAATGTTTCAATAAATCTTTGTGTACAAGGTTTTGTGTGGATATAGTTTTTCAATTTCCTTGGATCACACAGTAACACTTTAAAAAAAAAAAACCCGAAATTCAAATGAGTACATTTTTAAGATCTTATTGGTTTTATTTAATAATTCACGAATTGGGTAGCATGCTCCTGGGACTAACAGTCTGTGTTTTTTCACATATTAAACATTTACTCATACCACTGGCACTGAATAAAAACCTTACACAAAGTGGGTGGCTAAATCTGAATGACCAAATGAAATTTCCTCCTCCTTTTAGCTTGCCTTTATGCTCATTCTAAACCCATTCTGAAGGAAGTTAAGGTGTGAACTAATTTCTTATAAAGGGAATTTTTCTTCCTGTCATGATAGAAGTGAAAGAATAATCCATTTTCACCTCATTACTTTTCAATTGCCTCCTCTATGGGGTATTCACAAGTCTTATCTTCAGGGGAGAACAATTCTTTCAAGTCTCTGTTGGAAATTTCTTTTTCTTCAAGTAATTATTTTCAGAAGCAAAACGTATAATAAGGCTTTTGTATTGGTTGAGCTTTCAGGTTCTGGGAAGTCCCACTAAGACTCTGGCTCACCCAGTCTGAAAATTTCTTAGAAAAATGCAAATTACTATTGTTAAGACATCATAATGTAAGGTTCAGATGGGGGCATACATTTAATTAACAAGCTGAAGAACTAAAAACTAAAAATTTTCTTATGTTACTTGCCTGTATCTGAGAAGTCCAGTTCATTTCAAGCAACTGTTTCTTTCTTACTTTCTCCTGCTCATCCAATTCCAACATTCTTCCTACACATGAATCTGGTAAAAATGAAAACAAAACAAAAATTAGGCAAAAAGTGCCTAATAA